TTGTGTATGGCCCCTCTTTGCACACTCTGTCAGGTTGTGAGATCAATGTCATCCCAGGCTCAAGAAAAAAAGCATTTAGAAGGTTTTCTCCTTTTCTACCCTGACACAGCCTGGGTAGCATTGGGGTTATCTGCTCTGTAAAGGTTTAGTAGAACTTTGTGAAACCATCTGGGCCCGGGGCTTTCCAAAGTTTCACTTTCACAGACGTTTTTATTTTGTTTATAGTGTTGGGCCTGTTTTTATTTTAGTTTAGTTTTGTTTTTAAACCTGGGGACAGAAGATTGGGTTTATCATACATGCTCTACAATTTTCATAAGGCCTCCTCTTGTTTATTTTTTTTAAAGTATCTATTCCTTTTTATCCTCCACTATGCCCTCCCATTCCCTTCCCCCGCATACAGACAACCATTCTAATATGTTGAATGTATATCTTTTAAAAAATATATTCTTGTAAACTGTACATTGTGCATGCATTCTTTTGTTTACATAAATGCTGTTGTGTTATAGATCTCGTTCCATTTGTTACCTTTTTCCCTCAAGCACTGTGTTTTAAGGCTCATCCACTTCCCTTCTTGAACATCGAATCCATTGCTGCTAATTGGTGCAGTCAAATCTCTTGATTTTTACATCTCCACTCTTCCTGTGACGAGCACCTAGGAGATCCTAACTTTCCAGCCACAAGTGGCTCTGCAACTAATACACAGCTTCTTAGGAACCTGTGTGAGAATTCATCTGGCAGAATTGCTAGTTCCTAGCCTATGTGCCTATTTAGTCTGACCAAGTAATCCCAGATCATACTCTGGAATGGGGCTGACCAGTCTACACGCCCACCAGCAGTATAGAAGTATTTCTATTCCCCACACACCACTGATTATTTAGTTCTCTAATTGTCAGTCCAGTAGGTGCACAACAATACACCATTGTTATTTCAATTTGGGGAATCCTGTTCCAATACTGGTTAGCTTTTGAGGTGTCCTCACAGGTATCCTACCTGTTCATATCCTTTGCCCACTTTCTTAATGGAGTTGCTCTATTTTTTCTCTTTGATTTCCAAGAGTTTATTGATTAATCTAGATATTAATCTTTAGTTTTATGCATTGTAAAGACCTGCCATTCTGCCATTAATATATCTACTCCAGTTATGATGTCCATTATTGATTGGAAATTCTTAATTTTGATGTCATCAAATTTCTCAGATTTTTAGTTTATGATCTTATTTTTGAAGTTTTATATTTAAAATCTTTCCCTGCTCTATATAACAAAGATATTCTTCTATATTTTCTTCTATAATATTAACTGAAGAGTTTTTATTTCAAATTTATTTATCTAATTAAATCTATTTAAAGTCCACTCATATTTGAGATATCAGGGAAGGATTCAGTTGTATTTTTCTCCAAGTTTTCCTAATACCACACTACTTGAATGGGTACGTATGATGGTTAACTCTATGTGTCAACTTTCTGAGCTGAAATTATAGGTAAATTTGTCCCAGCCAAGAACATGGATATAGTTCTCTATTTTTCTGAACATCTTCTATGTCTTTTATTAATATTTTCTCCATAAAAGTCTTCTAAATTCTTGGTTAGGCTAGATCCTAGAAACTTTATACTTTTGTTGTTATTGTGAATGGGGTGTTATCTTTATTGTATTTTCTAGTTGTTGTGAAATACTATTAATTCTTATAGCATGATTTTATAACCAGCAGCCTTGTTAAATTCTCCTATTAGTTCTAAAAATTTGTCCCCTTTTTTATTTTTCCAGATTGGTGACCATGCCATTAACAAATAATAACACTTTTATCTCTTCCTTCTCCATATATACATCTTTGTTTTGTTTTTTATTTTGTTACTTATGGCATTGGCAAGATCTTCTAGTTCTATATTAAGCAGAAGCTATAGATGGCCTTGTCTTGTTCCTGATGTTAAAGAAAATGCACCTAAAATTTGTCTATTAGTTATGTTTGCAGAAAATTTTTAATATACTACTTTTCTCAGTTTAAAGAAATTTAGGGCTTTCTTTTTTAATCCTGGAGGACTGTTATTTTACAGTTAATGGGTGTTAACACATATCAAAAGTTTTTTTTGTATCTCTTGAGATAATCACATGATTTTTCTCCTTTAGTCTATAAATGTAATGAATTAAATTTATAAATTTCTCAGTGGCAAACCATCCTTGCATTCCTGGCATAAAATTTCCTTGATCATATTGTATTTTGTTTTAGATAAATTACTGGATTCAGATATTCCTATTTTATTAAGGAACTTTGCATTTACATTATTTAATGAAATAGCTTGTTGCTTTACTGGGGGTGTGTATATGTGTATGGATTATTTTTATCTGGTTTTGGAATTAAGATTGCACTAGTCACATAAAATGGGTTGGGCAGATTTTGCACATTTTCTTTCTTTCTTTTTTCTGTTTCTTTCTTTTTCTTTATTTTAAACTAACTCTGTAAGACAAAAATTAACTACTACTTAAAATTTTGGTAAAAGCGACACGTAACCATCTAGGCCAAGGGTTTTGAGAGAATATTGAGATTTTTTTTCACTATTTTCTAAGAACCAGATTTTGCTGTTTTTAATTTTTATTATTATTTTGTCATTAATGCTATTTCCTTTCCTCTTTTCTCTGGATTTGCTCTGTTGCTCTCTTTCCCACTCCTTGAGTTAATTAGCATGTTTTTTACTTTTTTTGTCTCCAAAGAAATGTATTTAAAGCTCTTTGCAAATGCCAACCAGGCTTCAACTCATGGGGACTGAATGGAATCTTGGTCACATCACTCCTTTTCTTCCTCTTCTTTTGTGCCACTGATGCCACTGGGTCAGGAGACAAGAACTAGGATGGTGGTGAATAAAATGCACCATCCAAGCAGCTAGAGAGGGCTGGGCAGCGTGGGATCTCAGGGCAGCCCTCTGTCCCTTAGGATGGGCAGGGCCCCGCAAGGTGGGGGCTCACACACACACACATACACACACACCATAGTAACCTTCTTGTGGTTTCCCTCGACATGCCCTGCAATTTCACGTTCCACCCCCAACTGTCCAAATCCCCCCACCATGGCCCTGAAAAACAAAACCACCTTGTCACAAACCCTTTCCTGTTGCCCTCACCCAGAGACTACTTCTTCCTCCTTTGAATTCCCATGATGTTTTTATCTGTACCTCTCATGTAGCTTATCTCTTTCTGCCTCACATCATAGCTGTTTATGTGTGTTCCACCTCACGGTCAAGAGGAAAGAAAGTCCACTGGCTTCAGGGTCAGACCTGTCTGAGGATGGATCCCAGGTCCGTCCCTCACTCAGTGGGTGGCCCTGGGAAAATGCCAACTCTTGGGAGCCTCCGTTTGTTGTTTTGTCAAAAATATTTAATGTAAAACTATACTCTCTCTCATAATTGTTTTGAGAATAGTGCTGGGTAAAATGCAAAAAGAAAAAGAAAATTAAATCATTATTATTGCTGTCATTATTGGTGATGTTATTTTTATTTATGTCCCCTATTAACATATGTATTTACCGATTCATTCAACAGATTTTTTATTGAGGACAAACTATGTGTCAGGTACTGGGGACCACATGGAGAAAAATACAGAGTTTTAAGAATAAAGGCAGAAAATACACAAGCAAATAAATACAGACAGTGTCAGATGGAGAGAGGCTGTGCAGACATTGAAACAAGACATGCAACAGCAAGTGATAAAGGCAGGGGAGATAAGCGAACTGTTCTCTGGGGAGGGAGCCATTGGGCTGGGACCAGAATGAGACGGAAGCCCCTTTGAGAAATTCTGAGGCCAGAGCATCCCAGAAGGCAGGGACGGCAAACGTGAAGGCTGAGCCAGGAATGAGCTCACGGTGATGAAAGAAAAGCATGGTGAGGGGACATGAAGATACAGGCAGGGCCAGTCCCTGCAGGGCCCAGTTGGAGGATAAGGAGCATGGATTTCACCTTTCGTGTGATTGGGAACCTTCTGGAAGACATATTTCACCGGGTTGTACTCAGTGTTATACCTGCCACTGTGTCTGCCTCCAGCAGAGATGGCACCCAGCAGCCAGGCCACGGAATTTTGCAAGAGGTAGAGAAGGCGGGAAGGAAGGCAGGAAAGAAGAAAGGAGAGCAGAAGGGAGCAAGGAAGGAGACAGGGGAGGGCCTATCACAGCAGACATCATACAGACGAATCTGATGGTTTTCTCCATTGTTAGGGACTTGTCCAGACTGAGGCTGGGGAAATTTTCCATCCTCCTGCGAACATTTGGTGTCACACTGGTCCCGTTTCTCGGGTGGTCCCAGATGGCGGTGGGGGCTGGGGAGCTGGGAGGTCTTGCAGAAGAACAAGTCATCGCCGCCTCTGGCACTCGTCGCTGGCAGCTCTGTTTCTCAGGTCACAGATAACAACTGTCAGATGGTCTCGCTGTGAAGCAATAAGCTTCCCCAAAACAAGGAGGCAGGCCAAGCTCCAGAAAAGCTGCAGTCTGGACAAAACACACAAGCCTGGAAAGAATTAAAAGTTTGTGTGCAAACTGAACAAAGCACCTCGGGGAAATGCAAGGGGTTAAAACGGAGCGCACAGCGTTCCCGACGCCCTTTGAACACACAAGCAGGAAAATAATTGCACATCCTTGGTAAAGGGAAAAAGAAGCGAGGAGAGACACGAGTGGGTGTTCCCATGTGAGAACTAAAAATAATACCGTGAAAGGTTGGCCCAGCCCAAAAATGGAGGGAAGGAGAAGGAAAGAAAGAAGCCAGGAGGAGGGACCAGAGGGCAAGGCCTGCTGGCTCAGCCCCGCTAAAGGCTCTCGGCTACTTTGTCTTCGGAAGGGAACTGTCTACATCCGGGTCACAGGACCCGGATGGGCAGGGTTGCTCTGGGCACCCTGCTCCCCTCCCTGCTGTGAAGGCTCCGTGGACGCGGAACCCGGACCACGAATGAAGGAGACATAACAGCTTCTTCTTAAATATATATATATTTTAATTTGGGTCTTAAATAATAACATTTTGAACCTGAACCTGGCCAACCCCGGTGCCAAATGGTACGGGGGTATTTGCTAACGGACAAGCGTCTCCCGAAGGACGCTTGTGGTTCAGAACAAAACGACAGCGCTTGGACGAGCGGGAAGCGTGAGAGCTGCGAGACTCGGGACCACGCGTGAAGCCAACTTAAAGGTTAGCACGTCTGCATCCGGTGGGGGTTTCCAGCCGCAGCTCCTGTCTTGAGGCAGTGGCGCCGTGGTCGGAATTAAAGGTAGAGCTGGCTGGCTTGTGCCTTGTTCTTGACATCCGGGTCCTCGCGGGGCCAGTCCTGTGCTGAGAAAGCCGCCGCGGAAAGGCGATTCTGGGAAGCAGCGTCGTGATCACAAAATCGCATCTCGGCGCCCTCCTATAAGCTCTCCTTGAGCACAGGCCTGTCTTACCAGAAAGATAAGGACTTCAGAGGAGGAACGCCTCCTCCTGTCTAAGGCCTTTTAAACGTCACAGTTACAAAAAGGTGGAGCAAACTGTTTTGGCATGAAGGAAGAGATTTTGCCCCCAAATTGTAATGATGTTTAGAATTAAAATTATGTTAATATATCATGTCTGCAACATACTAGGGGTCAGCTATGGAGGAGGCGCTATTCCAAATGCTTTGCGTATGGCGGGGTTGCCTGTAATCCATCCCACACCTTTGCAGAGCACCATCATCCCCGCTTTACAGGATGCTAAAACTGTAGCTCTGAGAAGTTAAGCAGTTTTCCCATTGGCCACTCCTCTAGTTAATTGACAGCCTAAGACTGTCTAATTCCAATGCCAAAGCCATTTTCTAGATAAAACCTCACCTTTCCCTGACTAGTAAATAAATACATAAATAAACAAATGGCAGATTTCAATGGCATGGTCATCTTTGGTGAAAATCTTCGATAGTTGTTTATGTTTTCGTTGAGAGCTCAATATCTTTATGGAGTATGCACACAGTGAACAGTCTTCTTGCCTGGAAAATTGTAGTCTAGTTTCGTAGAGAAGATATTTTGAGTTTATAATCTCCAAAGAGTAAAGTACTTTTAAAATGTGGGACTGAGGGCTTCTTTGTGTCCTGAAGATCAACTCCTTTGCTGGGGGACAGAGGAGTAAAAGTAGGTTTCTCATTAGTAGCAACAAGTAGGAGTTGTTTGTCAGCCAGAAGGAAATGCTTTAGTTCTTTCCTGCTTTAGTTTTGTTTTTTTTTTTCCTACGAACGTAATTAAGTAGGTTGGAGCAGGTCAGAACCCACCTCGTGTATGGGTGGAACAGGTGGGCAGCTGCAGAGATGGCTTCAGAGACAGGAGAGAGAGGATGCTCAGCCCAGGCAGGACTTGAGAGCACCAGCCAGGCAGGGACCTCTGGCCCCCCAGACAAAGGAGAGAACAAGTTTACCTTTGATGAATTCATCCAGAATTAAAACTATCCTGAAAATGTAGAGAAAAAGGCTATTTTTAAAAAATGATATTTTCATTTAGCAAACAGGCAAGTTTTATATCATTTTCAAAGTTTTATTTTTAATTACATATAGGAGAAAGAGACCACCTCATATCGTTTGCAAGTCTCAATGCCTGTCAAGTGCTGAATCTGCCCCAACTCTTCCTCTAATATATCCGCCATATTGAAATCTAAAATTCCACCGTTAGCAATAGGTTCACTTTTGCTAAAGCGTTCTCTTCCCTTAGAGTAGGTTTTCTTTTTGAGGCAAAAACCCTGGGAGCTAATACATTAATGTCATATACCTCTTGGAAAAATAATTAGCTTATCAGATGTGTCCTCTCTGTTCCAGAAAGGTGGTGGGTCCCACGAAAGCATTTGGCAAGGGGAAGTGCCCACCCTCAACCAATGTGTAGCATTAAGGGGAAAAATAATAGGAACACGCTTTGCTGACCTAACATTTTTTGCCCTAGGTCAGTCCCTAGTTCTATAAAATTTGCTAGGGAATCATAAAAATCATGAAAAATTTTTTGACCCAGACACAGAATTTTATTACAACTATGAACAACAAAAACCAACCACAGCTTTCTTTCTGTAATAAACATGTCTGGGGAAGCTCAAACCAATAGCCTAAAGAAATAACTAAGTGACCTAACATACTCCCTGCTTGAACCTGTGTCCTCTCTGTGCCTTCTGTCCAGGGGAGGATGACTTTTTACTCCACTTGTTGTCTGCGTTGACCCCCCCCCCAGGAAGCATGGCTGAAAGTTCAGCATCAAATACCAAAATCATATTGTTTTTTTCTTTTAAGAAACCATTTCTGTGCAATCACAGAGTCTTTAGTGAAATCACTGGAAGTCACACTCTCTTTTCCCCAGGAATAAAAAATGCACACAGCCACACCCATGAAAAACATTGCCTACGATTTGAGAGCATTGAAAACATTCTGAGCCCCAGGTTAGGATCGGATAACCCTCGTATTTTATAAACACAAAGCTGGAGAGCCCGAGAGAAGTGCTTTGCTCAAAGTCACAGTCAGTTCGTGGTAAGACAAAGATGAGAACTGAAGTTTTCACACAGTCATTAAAAGAAGTACTCCCCATCAGATTCCCATCTGTCAAACATTTCAGCAAACAGAAATAGGAGGGTTGCTTTCTTCAGGAAGAAGTTTGTTTAGCTCAGCCAAACTTATTTTATTTTTCAACGGATGAAGTAAACCAAATTCAGAACTCTACATTTTTTTCACCCCCACATATGGGATATGGGACCCTGCTAACTGGAATAGTTGCTGTGTGGTGGGCATGAGAAGAGGACATATAATTAAATGAAACATTTGAATCTAAACCAGAAACATGCTGCTGACGTCAAAAAAATTGGCTGTTATAGACATATTATTAACATTTCCTCCTTGAATTGTGTGTGTGTATGTATGAGTGGAATGTGTGTATGTACATTTGTGTAAGGATGGGGTAATGGGTGTGTGTGTGTGTGTTTGTGCACGTGTGTGTCTGGCTTTTGGTATTCTATGAAAAGCAAATGAGTAGCTGCATTTAACCCAGTGGGGCAGGGAAAAGTCCTTAATTAAGGGTCAAGTGTCAAGAGGTTAGTAAGAAGACAGCCGAGGAGGCCATCCATCCTAATTTAACCAGAAGTCTTCAAATGCACTAGAGAAGGAAGCTGGCCAGGAGACAGGAGCCATGGGGAAGGGGACAGGTTGTGTCTAGGGCATCTAAACTGCAATCAAGAGATTCCACATGGCATTTTCTGACAACCTAGTGTCAAAAAATGTATATCAGGATCGTAAAGGATATGGGTTTTGTTTGTTTGTTTCCGTGTCCACCTATTATTAATGAGACTAAGTTGGAATCCCAACTGGGTGACCTGGGACAAGGCCACCTCTAGACCATAGCTCTTTTACTCTGCAAAATGCTGTTGTGGTATCTACCAACTGTTGGGATGAAGGGCTGTGTGGGGACTACGTGAGCTGAACTCATGGGTGAGACCCTGGGGACTGAGAATAAGGAATTGTATCAGATGATACATGAAGGGTCCCATCCAGCAGTAACAAACACTTTCTGGTTCTGTGATGCTTTCTGGCCCCTTCGAAACTCTTTGGGAGCTTTTCCCCACCTGCCTGCTCTGCTTCTCCTTGTTCAGCTTTCTAGTCCTTTCGCTGTCCCATTCTAGCATCGCACCTCTCTCCCCGCCTCCAGCTGGCTGGCTCTGCAGGTCGACATCAGCAACCCTGTGGGGTGTGACTTCCCATATCTGTTCACCAGCTGCACACGTGGCAAACTGGGAGAGTACCCCAAAACTGTCTGGGAGGGGCATGTTTGGAATCCATTTTAATCAACCTGGTATAATATGAAAACAAAGTCATGTTAAATGAGGGTGGAACTGAAATCCAATTTCCTTTTCTATAAAACAAGTAGTCCAAACAAATTGAAATCTGAAGATGACTTCCAGAACTGATATGGGAACTTCAAAGAGGCAATAATTTTGTCTTATGCCATCACCCACTCCTAGCATGTAATAGTTCCTCAACCATACCAAGGGTGTGATGAGTGAACATTGGAATTTTATGATAAAAATGACAAAGAGTTACCTTCCTATTTTATCAATGGTTTAGTGTAGAACAACGGTTCATTTTTTTAAAAAATCCAATAATCTGGACGGTGAGGTGGCTCACGCCTGTAATCCTAGCTCTCTGGGAGGCCGAGGTGGGTGGATCATTTGAGCTCAAGAGTTCAAGACCAGCCTGAGCAAGAGCAAGACCCTTGTCTCTACTATAAATTGAAAGAAATTAATTGGCCAACTATTATATATAGAAAAAATTAGCCGGGAATGGTGGCGCATGCCTGTAGTTCCAGGTACTCGGGAAGCTGAGGCAGAAGGATTGCTTGAGCCCAGGAGTTTGAGGTTGCTGTGAGCTAGGCTGACGCCCGGTACTCACTCTCGCCTGGGCCACAAAGCGAGACTCTGTCTCAAAAAAAAAAAAAAATAAAATAATAATAATCCTCAAATATTTTATGTTCCTCTCATAGGTTACCAGGTATTGTCTTCCTGGCTAGAATTCATGCCCCTTGGACTCATTTCCATTCTCAGCACTGCAGTTGATCACAAGGTAGAAAAAGAGAATGGAAAAGAAATAGCTGTTTACTGTCCCTGCTAGGAGTTGAGCTCCTGCTGTTTTGGATACCACAATCTACTTTTAACTTCCCTTTGGACTCTCTCAAGGAGACCCAACCTCTATTTGGAAAGGCAACCCTTAACTGATTTCTACTTTTCTTTTTGTTGTTTTTAATCTAGAAAAACTGTTACCAACAAAAAACGTATCATCCTAGCTCTACTCTAATTCAGCTCTACTTGCCTAATTGTAAAATAGTATTTTAGTATTTGCAGATAAAACCCTTTTAAAGAAGTCCTGGAAGCACTTCAACAATCAACTGCATAGGGGTTCAGAGATGATCATAAACTGTGTCCAAGAGCGTTGGGATTGTGGCAGCAAAGTTCCAGCATTCACCATGACATATTTTTTAACAGGTCCAGGAGAATTTCAGAAGCTCAGGGCAAGGGCCTGTGCTTCACATCCCAATTCTCCCTCTTGAAAACATCTATGGCAGAGGGCAACATTTTCTATCGAAGGCTGGACAGTACATATTTTACTTTTCAGACCATTCAGTCTTTGTCACAACTATTTAACTCTGCTGTTTAGTGACATGGGTATGTAAATG